GGCAACTGCGTCCAAAAATAGTTAAAACAGATCTAGTTGCTTCGCAGTATACAGGATGTCAAATTGTCATTCAATCCTCCAAAGAAGAAGAGAAGCAATAGCTTCTGCAAATACGGGGATCGACAAACTCTCAGGATTTAAGGAAAACCAGACAATCACCTATAATCTGAAACTCAATCCCTCCAATACATTCCCAAAAGAAACCAAGGAATTTCAGACACATTTATAACCCTCGCCTCTTTTAAACATAAGAAAATAAAGATAATAAAATAAACCACCGAAATGCATCAAGATTTCGATTCTAGAATTCTCCTCATAATAAAACGGGGTCAAAAAAAAAAAACACCCCAAGCTTGTAGGATGAATATCAGTCATCACAATCACACACAAACTATATGCCTTTCCATGGTCAATGACAAACTATAACTGATAGCAGTACTAAAGGAAGAATCAAGCAGAATTGTGAAAGATAAACAGCAGAATGCAATTGTCCTGGACAAGTAATCATTCAGCAACTTAGTTTTAACTAGGTGACGCATATTTACGAGCAGAAATGCACGAAATTCTTCAAAAAGGCACTGCATATCCATTCCAGCTCAGATTTAGATAAGCTTGGTTCAACAACCAACCAAATTCAAATCCAATTCACAAGTAGTTTGGACCAGTATCTCAGGACAAATGTCTTTCAACTTAAAGCTGGCTTGGGATTGGATGTTAGACCAAAGTTCATCTAGATTAGGGTTTACTTCAGATGCAACTTGGTTGATGCCATGAAGGCTCTATCTTGTATAGACAAAATTGCAGCAGCCCCACTAGATATGAGCATCTACTACAGTAAGACAATTGACTCAAACACTACAAGGAAATTTCCAATTTAATTAGAATTGGAACTAGAGGCAACCAACTCGATAACCAAGACCTACTAATCGTCTATCAAAGAAATGAAGTCCACCCAAGACAAAGATTAGTTTGCAAATTGTAGTCACTCAAGATTAATGATAACACTTTGAGAACAGTGCAAACTTTGACAAAAAAGTTAAATAAAGAGATCAATTAAGCTAGTTCAAATATTCCAACATCACTAATCAAGGTATTTACCCATTTCATTAATGCACCAATAAGACCACAGCAGGAACATACAATTATTCAGGGGCAATGTGTCCCATAATTCCCTGAACTTAAGTTGTAATCTGACAATTTTGTATCCACCAAAGAAAGCTTCCAAGTCATCATCCAGATGGATGTTTCCAGGCTTTAAAACAATTTTACCATTGCAATGCTCATGCAGGTACTCCAGGCCATGTGCTGTATCAAAAGAAATTCTTTTCTAGTAGGTCAGTCCAGGCCTTTTTCTCCAGGTTTTAGGTATATCACAGGCACAAATAGATGCCTTACAATTACTGAAAGGTCATTCATATCACTGCAGATCATGCCCAATCATAACTAGTAAAAACAACAAGTATCTCTCAATTCCACCTCAGTGATCAATAATACCTTGTCAAACAATTTTGTGACAAACAAATAATGGTTACCAGTATTCAAGATACACATTCAGTATTTTCATTCTATGATGAGTATCTTTCCAGTAAACAATTGAAATTTACTGCATACTGCAGGAACGAATATTGTAATGAAGTTCTTCAGAAACTGTACCTGCTACACAGAATAGATGCTACTATAAAAATCCCATTTACAGAAAATTTTTATCACAAACTTTTTTCCTGCATTCAGAAACAAGATTAGTTTTCTGTCTAACAATTTGGATATTGTTGGACAAAATTGGGAATCCTCTAAAGCTATTAGAAAAGATGATTAAGTTGTCTGCAGGACAGTTAATGAGCATGATTTTGAACCATTGTAAAACAGATCTCTTGCATAAAACTTCAATGCAAGACTTGTCATTCAATGTTTGTCACTGAGAGTTGAACTGATGTTAAAATTAAGACTCGCCCTTAATTTTCTCACAACTCTATTTGAACTGATGTTATCCAAGACGTGGTTTGAAGTTAAAAAACTCTTCACTGATTTAGAATATTAGTCTTGACCACTTCAACCAATTCCTTTCATATAAAATTCATCATAACTATTTCCATACGTTTCAATACCTAATTAATTGTCTCTATCAAGTCTGAGCAAACGTCAAATCTTCACACTCTGCGATACAAATTCCACTGCTCCCCTGTTCCACCAAAAATGAACAAGAATTAACAAAAAATATTTGATAGATACAGGACTTGCTAGACTAGAGAAAAGTATCTTAGTACCATTGTGATGTGCCAGTAAGACTTTTTTCTTTTTCATTTTTTTATTGCAGATAGTGAACCAATAGCAGCTGTGCAATAAAAACCTATTCTTTAATTATTATTACAACTCAGGAACAACCAAATATTATTACTAAAGAATCCTATAATCAAGCCTATTGTCAATAAACAACTAAAAAGCACCTGGATTTATTTTTAAAAGAAAAAGGACGGAGAGTTTCTTGAGTGAACTATTCAAAGTTACTGCAATTGAACGATATTTTTGCTACACTTCTACTGAATGTCTATACAATTTAGTATAGCATTGACAATTAGAAGGGAAGTGATCAGAATACTTTTTTTGGATCATACTTGAAAAGTTTGGGTTTAGTCAAAAGCATTTAAAACAAATCAATAACCATGCCTATTTATGGCACCTCAAACTGTGAATCCAAAGCAAGAAACTTGTCTAAAAAGTTTTTACGCTTTTGGACTGGCTGCACCTTTGGCACCATTTAGCAATTAAAATAAAAGTAACAATTTTATCTTACTTAGAAAAAATTTTCTCGAAATTACAGAAATACAACATAAAACTTGTGACTGCCCCATCTCCCCATAAGGCGAACCAAAGGGTTCGGCGGACCGCCTGCCTAACTCTCGCCGGGATTCACTACAGTTCTCAAATAAATTACATCACTCACATCCAATAACATAGGGTACAACCTCAATAATAAACGAAATAACATTTCCCAAACTTAGAACGTAAACTTACATACATTACAAATCTCAAGTAGTCACAGAATTCAAGTCCAGATACAGGTCAGATACGAATCAAGCTACTTGCTCATGCATAAAAGAGATACCATATATTCAATCAAGTCGGTCCATTGAGTGTATGTAAGAGCACACTCGCCTAAATAGGTTCAAGTCTTAAGTGAGCTCAACTTAGTCGGTCTCAGGCAGTTCAAGTATTGCAAATTTCAACACTTACAAATCGGGTGGTGCAAACCTTAACCAAATAAGAAGACTAGAAGAATGATGCAAAACCAGAAGTTTTCTCAACAATTCCGGCCACCACCATAATCTATCAAAACCCAAGCCAAAATCCTATTGGACAAGTTCTAGATAACATTCATCATTTCAATCTCCTCATTCGGTTAAGTCTCAAGTACAATACGAAATCCTCTGTGCTCCAACCTGTGCCATTACAACTTATCTCAAATTCACTTATGATTCCTATTCACATCATCATACACTTGACCATGTTCCTTCCAAATTCACAAGCATTTTCTCAGGAAAAGTATCGAGCACTCAAGTACAAGAATCCAAAACTAAGCAACTGTACAACTCAGGCCGTACGCTATTACCAGAATCGGTTGATGTATGCTTGGGAGCAACCAAGTCATATCTTACGCTTACCATTTTCACGATTCACAACTTACGCTCCAAAAGAGCACTTAATCCTTTACACATTTTCACATTAGGACCATTACACCGTGTGGCCCAAGTTCACTTCGCATAGAGACCATGCGAAACAGCTCTGGATTTTATCCTTACAAGTAGTCGCTTAACTTTCAAATCAATCCCACAGTCCGGCATCCTAAACTTTAAGTCTAGGATACACTACAAAAATCTGAAGTCTAAGCTCTGATACCACCAATTAACAATCAATTGGAGTAGATAAGAAGTTCTTAGCAAGATACCTTCAAACCTCAAGAAAATTGGTAGCTTAGTGCTTCCTCCTCCAAAACAACTCCACCAATAGCTTTAAACCTCCTTAGTGAGCACTTGTATGGAATAGATTGCAAAACTAGCAGTTAAAACTCAAGATTTGAGTAAAAATTAAAACTAGAAAATGAAGAGTTTTCTCTTGTTTTTCTCTCCAAAGAGTCAGACAAGAGGGAAGCAAAAATGAAGATATTTTGCAGCCAAAACAAGATATATATGAAGGAAAACAACTGGTCAAAAGTGGCTGCCGAAGCTGCCACGTCACAATCCAGCCGGATACAGGCCAGAGAGGAAATCAATTTTTTTCAAAAACTCACAGCAATCCAGCCAGCAATCCGGCCAAGGACTAGCCGGATTTGGCTTTTCACCCTTTTCACAAAATTTTTTCCTTTTCTCCTAGTTCAAATGCAGCGCTCATCCGAACGTCCAACTCATAGACATAAATACATATATCTCACCCAAATACACGTACTAACAAAACCATCCTTTGTTTAAAACAATTAGTTAACAAATTTTCACGTAAAAAGGGAAGTGAAAATAAACAAAAGGCTAAGGAAATGTAAAGATTTTTAGGGTTCTCACAAAACTTCTCTAGAAATTCAAAGTCACAAACTATATTTGCATGTACCATTTCGTTTCTTATTTCCAATAAAATCAAATATTAGTTATCCGAAGTAAAATTGAGAGGCAAGTTAAAGTACCGACACCCATGAAAAATGAACAAAAAGTACCGATACAAGTTACCATTTAAGTGATATGCCACAACGAGGTTCTCCATGGAAAGATCAACAAGAAGTCTCTTAGAAGAAGTGGTACAAATCCAATTAATTGCGGCAGATTTCTTTCATCTGCCACACTTGTCAATTGACCTTCCCTAAGCAATGCGGCTTCTGCACCAAACTAAATATCTTTGAGGTGTTTTCACAAAATATGACCAAGAGATCTCCTCTAGGGCTCAGTTGCATCAAAGCTGATAAGTGACAACAGGATCCAATTTGAACCTAAATAATGCTAGTTCCAGCAAATTAAAGTTCAGCGGCCAAAATAAATAGCAGGACCAACATGTTGCAACTGATGTGAAGGTCCTCTTTGTTCCCTATCCATAAACTTCTTGCAATCAGGATCAATCTTCAGCATCAACATTAGTAGAGAAGGATTGTTTTGATTTTCAGCAGATGAATCAAGTAAAATGGAAAAAGTAGATGCATCCAGGGAGAATCCTCTTCGAACCATTTCTTCATAATAGACCATCACATCATCATAATGACCTCCCTTGAGGAGTCCTTGCAGAATAACATTGCATGTACAATCATTTGCCAAGAATCCCTTCGCCTCCATTGTTTTAAGAAGCTCTTTAGCTTCGATGAGCAGACCTTCTGAAAGCAGGCAGCAATCATGCTGGTGCATGAAAATTGAGGGGCAAGTTAAAGTACCGACACCCATGAAAAATGAACAAAAAGTACCGATACAAGTTACCATTTAAGTGATATGCCACAATGAGGTTCTCCATGGAAAGATCAACAAGAAGTCTCTTAGAAGAAGTGGTACAAATCCAATTAATTGCGGCAGATTTCTTTCATCTGCCACACTTGTCAATTGACCTTCCCTAAGCAATGCGGCTTCTGCACCAAACTAAATATCTTTGAGGTGTTTTCACAAAATATGACCAAGAGATCTCCTCTAGGGCTCAGTTGCATCAAAGCTGATAAGTGACAACAGGATCCAATTTGAACCTAAATAATGTTAGTTCCAGCAAATTAAAGTTCAGCGGCCAAAATAAATAGCAGGACCAACATGTTGCAACTGATGTGAAGGTCCTCTTTGTTCCCTATCCATAAACTTCTTGCAATCAGGATCAATCTTCAGCATCAACATTAGTAGAGAAGGATTGTTTTGATTTTCAGCAGATGAATCAAGTAAAATGGAAAAAGTAGATGCATCCAGGGAGAATCCTCTTCGAACCATTTCTTCATAATAGACCATCACATCATCATAATGACCTCCCTTGAGGAGTCCTTGCAGAATAACATTGCATGTACAATCATTTGCCAAGAATCCCTTCGCCTCCATTGTTTTAAGAAGCTCTTTAGCTTCGATGAGCAGACCTTCTGAAAGCAGGCAGCAATCATGCTGGTGCATGTTCTAACATCAGGATCCAATCCTTTAAGGGAGAGATTGTTGAAAAGATCTCGAGCAATATCGAGCCTCCTGCTTTTGCACAACCCATCAAGTATGATAGTGTACATTTCAATGTAAATATTTGTTCCATCAGCTTCCATTGCATGGAATAACTGCAATGCTTCGTCGACATGTCTAGTCTTGTACAATCCATCCAACACCACACAGTAAGTGTGAAAATTAGGCTATATGCCAGAAGCTCGTATCTCATTGAAAATTTCTCGTGCACTAAGATACCTTCCAGAACTAAGTAACCCCTGCAAGACAATGGTATAAACAACAATATCAGGTGTTAAACCTTTATGTGAAATCTGTCGAAAGAGATTCATGGCTGCTTTCACTTTCTTGGTCTTGTAATAGGCATTTATTAGAAAACCATAGCTATGGAGATCGGGTGTAAGGCCGCTAGCAACCATGGTATCGAAAACTCTCCTTGTATCATCTATTCGCTTCTGTAAGCAGTATCCATCCATTAAGGAACTGTATTTGACTAGGTTAGGATTTTGACCTTGCTGAATCATGATGTGCACTACCTCTTCAGCATTTTCTATATATCCTTCCTTACATAGTGCATCCACCACTATATTGAAAGTAATAACATTTGGAATAATTTTATAATCCTTCATTTCAAAAAAGATCTTGTTAACGTCCTCCCATCTGCTTAAGATGCATGGACCATGAATCAAACAACCATAAGTGACAACATTTGGGAGAATGCCCTTTTCAATTATCTCCTGCAAAATGGCAAGAGCTTCGTCTACCATTTTATCTTTGCAAAAGCTGTCAATGATGTTATTGTACACTTTAACATATGGCTTACGTCTTCTTTTATCCATGACTCTTAGGAATTCAATGGCCATTTGAATGTTCCCCACCTTAGAAACATAACTTAGCCGCAGCTAGATGACAGTGCAATGGAGAAAGAATAGTAAGAAAAAGCACCAAAGAAGTTGACCTATAGAAAAGTACAATGAATCTGAACAATGGGCGATATTATTGTGGCAAGAAACCTGTCATTGTGACTTCTTGGAAACTTGCAAATCCAGGGGTGATGACTATGCCAGTTGGGTTCCTTGCCACAACGACATTGCTCATTGTTCGGATCTATTGTACTCTTCAACAGGTCAGCTTCTTCTACACTTTTTCCTGCTATTCTTCCTCCATTACACAGTCATCTAGCTACAGCTGAGTTTTTCTTCTTCAATTGTGGTTATGATGTAAAGCAATTAGGATTTGATTCAAGAAATATGAAGGAAAGAGGAAAAAACTCAACTAGAAACAAAAGGTGTTTCCGAGTTTGCCATTGAAATTATACACACGAGAGAGGCATGCGATTTGTAGTTGGAAAAATGAGTAAAGACGAGCATTAGGACTAAATTGGCACATAATTTGTATGCAAGGGATTATTCTGAATGATTTAAAATATTAGCAACTAAAAAAGTTTTTTATGAAAATGTTAGGGACCAATTTGACAAATTTTCCTAACATAATTTGTTAAGGACAAAACTATTAAGGCAGCATGTCTATGAGGGCATGACTATCATTTCACACCTCACATACACAAAAATTTAACCCACATGTTTGACCAATTGATTAATTTGTAGGTTTCTGAATTATAAAGGGCAATTTGCTAGTGACCCACATTACAGGGGCCAACTTGAGAGTAAACTATGATTTTACGACCTAAACTTTTTTTGTTACAACCATACCAAAATTAAATATAACCTTGTCTGAGATTGATTAATTACTAACATTATAGTGAACAATTAATTTGGTATGAAACTCATATTAAGCAACTCTCTCAATTCATTTACTCTTTTTATTAAACTTAACAAAAATAGTTATGGCCATCGAATAACTTAAAAACCAAATTAAGCATACATTCATGGAATGGTTAACATTATTGGAATAACATAAAGATTTGAATGATTTGAACACCAAATTAAGGAAACTGTAAATAATTAAATAATTTGAACACTAAATTAAGGAAAAATTTCCAGTAACAAATACCATAAGAAATCCAAAATTTTAGCCTAAGCCCCCAGTGAACTTTTAACTCCCATCCATTTTTGTTAGTTTTTTATTTATTTTAATTGATCAAAACATCATAAATACCTTTTATTTGGATTGAATCTAAAAAAGTTTGTTTATTAGTTAAGTTTAATTCGCAAAAAGGTGAGCTCTTCCAAATATGGCGTATCAAAATTAGGTAAGAAGCATAGATTACCTATGATTTTGCAATCTTCTGTTACTCCTTACTGAAATTAAATATAAGCATTATTGAGATTGGTTAACTTTTCCAAAAATTATAGGTAACAATTAAGTGTCATGAGCTTTATATTAAGGAAACCCCCTCAATTCCTCTATTCCATTATTAAATTTAAACAAAAATAAGTGTGACAATCTAATAACTAAAACACTGACAGGTGCAGAACCTATGCAATAACAATAATAAAACTTAACTACCACCAAAAGCTGTCAATAATCAATTCTAGGTACTGGAGCAGGGATTCTAGGTGTGCAATGGGTTACTTGATTCATCCTGTTCCCGAAAAGTTTGTTTAATTCGATATACCCGAATTAATTAGTTGACAAAATTTGCTAACTAGTAGACAGTGGCAAGCAGGGTCGTTTTCTCAGAGATTGGGGAGAAATTTGTTTCCTTTCGAGTCAAGACAACTAGGGGTTTTCAGGATTAAATGCTAACTAAATAAATTAAATGCGAAAAATAATTAATTGGAAGAAATAATAGAGGGAACTCTAGCTAAGGATACACTTCAGAAATGTTTCATGCAATTGATCATCGATACAAATATAATTCCAACAGTTATCGATAGATTGGTTATAGTTGTCATACACGCGATAAACAACCAGTCTTTCCTTAATTTCTCGATAGTTAAGGTACGACCGTTAACTATTTCTCTAATCCAGAAACAACCCTAGGTACGATCGTAGGATTTCATTTCTGGTTTGCATTAAGATTTAAAAAAGCCCAATCCTAACTAACAAACACACTATGAGGGTTTGTTTAAATTAGATCGTATATTTTCCTGACATAAACCCAATTACGCCAATTGCTACCAGGATGGAGGTAATCGAACAATTACGGATTCAACTTCCCCCAATTAGCAAAATAGACTACGTGAATAATTAAATATTGCGCACTATTCAATCATACACGATAGCTATAACAATTAAAAGCAAAATATATATAAATATCAATAAATGAAGGAAACAGTTAAAATAATTTAGATCTCACAGTTATTGTTGAACCAAATCTTCAGTTGTCCCTTGACTAGAAAACAAAATTAGTTACTCTCCATTGAAAGTAACTCATGCAAGTCCCTTGAAGGAAATTGCGTCAATGTTTGACAATAGAAGAACTACTCAGCGGAGCAGAGTGCCAAGCAGCTGCCGTCGTCTCCTTTTCTTATTCCCTAGCCAAGTAGTAATCATGCGGGATCCAGCTTTTGCTCTTCCTATTTTCTAGCTTTCTAAAACACATCGAACTTCCTCCCTCACAATCCGTAGTAATTGGCTCCAAAAAAATCTCCTAATATAGGAAAACTAACTTCCTAAAAGATAGGTACTCAAATGCTTAAAAGTCTCCTAAACCAACCCAATTACTAATTAGAAACTTGGTAGATAATATCATCTTCCAGCTATGATGACGACTCCCACTTGGATTAGGATACTGCCCTGCATAGAATCCTGTGCACTCCGAACTTGATTGATGTCTTCTCACGCGTCCATACCTACTTGGAGGAAAATCTTCTAAAAACTGCAATTTCTGCACTTTCGTTCTCCAATTGGCTAAACATCCCCTAAATATGAAATTCAAACAAAATATGTCCATTAATGCAATATCCAATCTAATAAGAAATGGAAATTATAACAAAATTAATGCTAAATTAGCGTTCCTTCAATTTCTCCCACATCTAAATCACGCTTGTTCTCAAGCATGAGAATAACAAATTAAGCAATCAAATTCAAACAATGGCTGTTGCTCAAATCTTCTATTGCCAAGATACAGTTAAAACACATGTCAAGTATTAGTGGTAATTTGTAAGAAATATCTTTCCAGGTAGCCTTCAAGATCAAGAACTCTTTCAATTTATGACTAACTAATCTAAGAATATAAAATATTCAACCAGCATCCATAAGCAAATGGTTCGACTATTAAGTTAAATCTCAACATTAAAATTCATCGATCAGCGGTTTAACAATTCATTCACATTTTTCATTACTAGCACTTTTTTTTCTAAAATATCCCTATACTCGATTGATTTTTTTTTTTCTCTTCAGGGGGGAATGCTTACTCTTTAGCCATTTAAACGTTTTGACACGAACTCCGACATTGACCAAATGAAGGAGTCATGTTACTCAACTTTTATCACTAGAGGATCACATACTCATAGCTATCGTCACTTTTTAAAGTGAAAGTCAACACTTGTAGTGAAGACCCCCGGTTACTAGGCAACAATACTATTGGAGTATAGCCAAATACTATTCATAAATAAGCACCAAATTAAAATTAAAAATCACACAAACCCACTTCATTTCTTAAACATAGAGAACTAAGATTAATAGTTTAAACCAATTTGTATAAAAAAAATGCTAAACAAATATTTACAATACTTAGAGAAGTTAATCAAAAAGTGCAAAAGTCACAAAATCTCAAATATTCACCAAAAAAAATACCCTTAAACTTAACCATATCGTACTTAACACCTTAAAGTGTAAAATCTTAGTAATAAAAAATTTTGAGACGTCTAACCATCGATAATCAGGAACAATCACAAATATGCACAAAGATAGGCAAAAATTGAATAAAATTCGACAAAGTCAAACAAAAAATTTCAACAAAAATGCCTACACTTACACTTTTACCAATATACTACTCTCCCCCACACCTAAATCTTACATTGTCTCCAATATAAGAGATAAAGAATAGAATATGAAACAAAAGGGACAACGAAACTTCCCTAAGCATCTAATGGAGGGTCTTAAGCAGATATGGCATAGGTAGGAATGGTTAGTTCCTCCTTTTATCCTTTGTTTGAGCAGAGATGAGAATAGGCAGTGAGGGACTGAGGAGAGGGAGAGTGCCGGTGGTGAACGATGGCTAGTAGCGGCGGCTGAACGAAGACGACGGCTGGAGTGGGCTGGAGGGGTGCTCGGTGCGGTGGCGACGGAGCAGCGGCGGACAGCAAAGCGGGCAAAGGCAGCAGTGGGAAAGGGGGGAAAAGGGAAAGAAAGAAAGAAGAGGAAAGAAAAAGAAAGAAAAAAAGAAGAAAGAAGAAGAACCATGGTTTTTTTTTTGAATAAAGGAACCCCTATATTAGGCGTGGGCACACCTAACTGCCTTCGAGTCTTCTAACCAACCATCCGAAATTAAGATCTTTAAGTTTGACCACCTGGCGTGGGCACACCTAACTACTAGAGAGTCTTCTAATCAAATTTTGAAAATTGAGTTCCTTAGGCATGACCACTTGGCGTGGGCACGCCTAACTATTATAAAGTCTTCTGACCGCAGACGAAAATTGCCTTCCTTAGGCATAACCATCTGGCATGGGCACGCCTAACTAATGGGTAGTCTTCTGTTTGTCAAATAAAAAATTTCTTCCTTAAGCGTGATCACTAGACGCGGACACACCCAACTACCAGTTTCCTGCCACAAAAACAACAAATCACTAAACTCAACTAACACTTAACAAAAACTCCAAAAATATAAGAAAACTAAAATAAAGAGCCTTGGGTTGCCTCCCATGCAGCGCCTTTCTTTAATGTTTTTGGATAGACATCGCCATGTTTATTCACGGAGAATAAAATCGTG